TATATATATATATATATATATATATATATATATATATATATATATATATATATATATATATATATATATATATATATATATCCTCTTATTCTAAAAATCTCAAAAATACCTCTCAAAAGTTATTATATATATTTTCATTAAAATCCAAAATATTTTCTCGCCAATTGTTCATAGTGTCTTTATTTTAAAAATATTATATAGTATTTTAAAAATACTATATAGTATTTTGATTTCAAAAACACTATGAGTACAAACACAATACACTATACAGTGTCTTTGAGTGTAGTGTTTTTATACTATCCTTATTTTTATGAATGAAAATACTACAAAACTAGTTCAAAAACAACAGTGTTTTTAAAATAATATATAGTGTTTTATGGATAAAAACTAGGGGTGTTAGATTTGACTGAGTTTAGGAAGAGATTTTAGGGTTTTGAAAACTTTTGGATGAAGTGAGTATTTTTAAAATTAAAATTAAATAATTCAAATATGAATGGATTAACCAAACTAAACTAAGAAAGGCTTAAGTATATGATGAGTCTAATATTTAGTTAAGTATCTTAGAGTATTGGTCCTCTTAAGTCTCAATAAGTTAATAAATTAATTATGTCATGAAATTAATTATGTAATAATGAATAATATCAAAGTTGATCTACATTAGACATGACAAATAATTTTTGTGTGGTTCAACCTCACATATACTATATTGATCCCCGTCATAATTTGCAATACAAAAATAGAGAAGCGTGTCTATTTACAATCATCAATAAGAAGATGATGTCCGGCAGCGCATTACGGTAGAGAGTCGGCTACCTAAAGCTCACTACGAGAGGATCGAGCTTCACGCGGTTTATTGCCGTACGTCCGTCTCCGCAGAGGAAGAACAAGAGAGTGACACAGATCAAGCCACGACGTCGTTGGTCCGAAGAGGACAGGGCTGAGCGATGAAGGAGACATGATCGCAGCCGGCGGCGATCACCAGCTTGCTCTGCCACTCATCGCGCGGCAACGACGAGCTCGTGGCTGCCGCCGCCGGCCGCCTCAACTGTTGCCGGTAGTACTGCTGCAAGGCCAGCGCGTTCCGAGCTTGCATCTCGATCTCGTCACGGCCGTCGCCATCGTCGGAGGTGAAGCTGCCGCGGCACCCTTGCAGGCATTTTGCAACGATGTAGAGGAGGATGCGCAGCCCCAGCAGCGTCCCTGCAATCATCAGAGCCAGTAAGAAGTAGCCACCAGCGGATCGGTGGACGTGCCTGCAGCCGAAGAGGCCAACGCAGACCATGGTTGGTCATCACAGGCTTCTTTGATCAACCCCATATCTTATTTTGGAGTTCTCATGATATTATACCTTGCTTGGCTGGAGTTGGCCGGAGAGCTTTGCACCTATGCCTTCCTTGCTGAGAGAGGGAGTTAGATTTGTCAGCTATCCATTCCAACTGAGCAATATACAATGATTATAAACTATGGATGCCATGAAAGAAAGTAGTAGTCCTCTAATGGTTTCTACCCATATAAGACATCTCAAAGAAAAAGTCTGCCTACCACAATCTTCCTAAACGGTGTCAATCCAATGCTCTTTAATCAGATTTAGTATGGCTAAGAAGTTTAAGGTCTAAAGCATTTGCTCAAACATTATATATACTCGATTGCCTTGTGTAGGCTGTATATGTCTGTCATGACATCCCATGTTACTGCATAAAAGCATGCTAATGATCTTAATTTAATGAAATGGTCAGATTAAATTTAACAGCCACATTAGCTGAATCTTCCTGCCTTAAACCATCATTTACTTTGACAAGCTTTAATGATCACCAACCCAAATTTCTAGTTTTCTATCTTAATTGACTCTAGAATAAACATTTCATTTGGCTTGAGAAGTGTTCAAGAGTACCTGGTTCAGTAGGTAAGCAGCTGTCACGGCTGATGGTACTGCAATCAAGTCTTGCCTTCTTCATAGACTTCCTCTTGAGCTTTTTCTCCATTTACAGCCCATTGGAGATGAACTTTAGCTGTGCAGGTCGATGCAATATTTGTTCCAGAGGGTGAGCCACAGCATCTGTCACCACCAAACCAAGGGAACCACATTCTATCAGCAGGTCACCATTTGGATTGGCTAGCTGGTCTTGTATTAAATCTTTCCACCAGTTATATTCCAATTGTTCCATTAACTAAAGCAGATGTCAGCACACTATTGCAGTCATGGGAACTTTGTTTCTTTGCAGCTTCATAAATCATGGCTAGGCCTGTTTATGTTCCTCTAGGTACACAGGCATCCCATCCAGAAGCTGTGCTTTTAGAGAACATGAACATGATGCTGCTTTTTAGGCATGATGAATTCTTCTGGGAAGGAACATGTCAACTTGTTCCCAGATCTTTTATCTTCAATATGAGGTCACCTGTAAAGTATGAGAAAGCTTCACATGTTATTATCTGTCTCCTCAATCAATTATTAGCATAAATGTGATGCCTAAATACAAGGCTATGAATTCACAAATTTTGGTAATTAAGAAACCGGCATTATAACTTACAAGCCTTTCCTGATATAGAACTGCAAGTAGTTCTACATTATTCTGGAAAGCTGTGATGTTCAGAAAGGAACTAGAATGAGACAGCCAAACCAGATGTTTAATTTACTAGTCAGAAGAGAAGAAAAGAGAAGAAATGGTCATATCACAAAGTCCAATACACATTACCTGGCTCAAGCTGCTGAGAAAAAGAGAAGAAAAAAAAAAGATTAATTGTCAAGGAGTATCTTGCATCAATTTGTATCATGTTTGTTTACTAATTCATAACTAAATCAATATGGAAGTACATAATTCACTAATTTACTATTCTAATTGCAGTAGTAAGGTCCCAAGCCAAAATACAGTGAACAAATACAAAACTAGAGACATAAGAACAACTTTCAATGAAGAAAAAACAATGACTGTGTAGCGCGAGAAAAAACCTGAAAATGATCATGAAAACATATCTTCTTTTGAGACTGCAACTCGTATTTCAAATTACGGTTAACCTGCTTTAAGCCCTAGTTGCTGAAAAGGTGATCAAAGACCACTTATGAACTACAAAAATCCTTCCAATCCTAGGATGAAAGTGCCCATATTGATACATAAAATCAAATTTTCAGTAAATGACAGTTGATGTATAATTTGGCCATTTACATGATCAGAAATGAAAGCTGTTGATGCATCTACATTGTATGCTTGTATCAGGTGCACAATTCTTCTTTTCTTAAATGTAATGAACACCGGTGCTTCATTGCATTAAAACACCACCATAATTCATGGATGACAAGAAAACCTTGCAATGGTCACGCCGCAAAAGATTTTCCTCTGAATACACACAGGTCATTTAACTGCCATACATGGGGTTAGCAACAATAATAAAAATCATCTTTGAAATGAAATAGCAACCATGCATAATGCAATATAGTAGGTTGTGCAGACGAGGAAATCCTGATAAATTAAAACTTAGATAAAAGCTGTTAAGCTGCCAAGCTGTTTCTCTAGCATTTAATAGTAAAATAATTGCTTCAAATATTCAACATAAGAGTCTTAATTTTAAAATGATGTTTCACTAGTGGAACTAAGGATTAACAACTGGGGCAACAGAATATAAAATAGAAATAGTTTGACTTTTAATATATAAGATACAATGATAAAAGAAAATCTTAAAAGGAGGAGGATAAGAGAACTTAAAACTTACCTCAAAGCACTTTGAAAGTTGAGGGGCAAGTATGAACAGAGAAAGAAAAGATTCATACAACTGATAAATTACAACGTCTTTTCATAATGTTTGAGATCTATTTTGGAGTAATACATGATACCTTAAATGATCATGACCTTAAATGATCATTATATAATAAAGGGCAACAGAATTTAAGAGATACCACATTCATTGAGTCATGTGCCTGTTGAATAATCTGTTGCCATGTCATAGATGTTTCTCTAACTTCATAATAAGCTTGAAACTAGTTCTGCACTGAACCTGATGCTAGTGACTGATGCCAAGCTCGTACTATTTTCGGGGTTCATAGCATCTGCACTTGCGTGACGAATGAACTCTTCTGATGACATGTGGGACCCATGGCATGCGCAAACAACCTTTATTTGGTTTTTGCTATACTTGTAGGTAACACCAGATATGGTTTTACGCTAGTTCATAGATACAAAATGTCATAGATGTTGAAACTAGTTCTGCACTGAACCTGATGGACTGCTAGTGAATGATGCCAAGCTCATACTATTTTCAGGGTTCATAGCATCTGCACTTGCATGACGAAGGAACTCTTCTGGTGACATGTGGGACCCATGGCATGCGCAAACGACCTTTACTTGGTTTTTGCTATACTTGTAGGTAACACCAGATATGGTTTTACCTTTGGGGCCTGGCCCAGTTGCCGAGACCCATGGAAGATCTGGAAATGAGCCACACCCTCCAAATTGCAAGTTTGATGCAACACCAGGCTTTATGGCAGATCCATCATGACGAAAGCCTTCAACAACAAGCAGGTTTGTTGTTTCCTTCTGCCTGAGAATAGAACTGATACCCTTGCCTTCCTCAGCCTTAGAAGAGGATGATGCTCCGGTCTCCACAACGTGTTTGCAATTGCCCTTTGCTAAACCTGCTAACTTATTTTCGTATCCCAAATTTGTTGATGGGTGCATCTGAGTAGAAACTGCACGGACATGACATAGAAGCTCAGGCATATGGATAATATAGATGGACTTATAAAAGTATAAGATATAAACAATTTAATGACAAGATGTTCAATTCTACACCGTGTCCTCAATGTGCAAAACTACTTGATTAAGAAGAAACATAACTTGTGGCATTTAGGATTTTAGAAATGAAGACCGAAGAATGTTACTGCAATCAAATATGCCTGCTGGTAGATATTGGTATGGATATTAAATACATAACCCTAACAATGATCGGAAATACTTTCAGTATAATAATGTTTGTTTAGCTTCAAAAAAGCAGACTAATCCAGTGCACTCTTTTGCTAAGAATCCACATTTTTAAGCTTACTCCACAATCAATGACTCCATATAAGAATACATGAAACACTGATTTGGATTACTCTCATCATATTAACTGAAAGGAAACAAAAAAAACCTTGTAAATGTGGATGTGTACTGTCATTTAACATATATCATTACTCATCAAGAATAAGTCATCTTTTACCTGTTCTAAGGAGTAATATTGAGGCATCTGATGATGTGCTCTAACATATTAGAGTTTGTATCAATCTCTAAATAAAATCTAGTTCGCATTTTTATCTGTTATCCTGTTGATTTTAAAGATGACTCTCGATTGCCTGTTACTGACAGTTCAGAGTTCAGACCAATCATTGGACAAACTAAGCATGCGGTCAGGATCTTACAAGTACCGCTTCCTTACATGCTTTGAAGTTCTCCATGTGGAAGCCAGGCACAACTTTTAATTGTACAGCATATAAAAATTGATAATAGATATGGTACACAAAAGTACTATATACCTACTTAGAAGAACAAAAACTTTTGAAAAGACAATAGTAAATATACTATCATCATCAGAAGCATGTAGGTATCTGAGAGGAGAGATTGACCATTTGATCTCTTTGTCTCATCTTCATGAAGCAGTGAGTTTGATGTCCCGACAACTAAGGAAGAGACTATCTGAGGCTGAGAACCAAATGCCCATGAAGAGTTTGTCTCTAGTGTAGGGAGCTGAACTGATGAGTACCCAAAAACAATCTGCTGGTCATCAGTGTTTGTTCCCTGTACTACAGGATCTTCATCTTTTGTGGGAATTGTTGGTTGCACAACATATGGTGAAGGAGAGCTTGTTGTGATAGGTGCACCAGCAACAGTTGGTTTAGCAGGGATTGGATAGGGCACCATTGAAACAGTCAGTGGTTGAAGAGACAATGGAGTTCCATATGTTACTTTTTGAAGTTCAACATTAGATGTATTTCCAGAATATGTTTTCTGTATCTGTCCTCGGACACAAATCCCTGCTGGATTGCCTAAAGCATGTTTAGCAGTACCTTTGAGAAGATCAGAACACTTAGCAGTGTCTACATGCTGCGAAACTAGCCAAGAGCTTGAAACTTCTGCTTCGGATTCTGCAACATCCTCATTTTCACCGGTTGAACCGTCATCTGCAGCAACTAAAAGATGTGAATGTTTCACCAAAGTGACCTCATCAGGGCCCTTACCTAAAACCTCAGCGCGGTCAACTACCTTCTCATGCTTCTTTTGAAAATTTATCTTCTCGGATTGCAATCTAGGTTTCTTCAGACCTAATTTCTCTTCTTCAAATTCATTAGCTCTGTTACTTGCAATGAGAAGCTCTTTATGCCTGGTAAACTGTGATTGGCTACTCTGTGCAATGTCATAACCATCTATCGTCGGGGCACTGCACTTGCTAATATCTGTCCTGAAGTTCTCTTGGGATGGAAAAACTGCTTGTTTCCCACTTTGGTTTCGGTTTCCAACATTATTCTGGAAGAAGTTATTGAACGGAACATCTGAAACAGTCACACCTATGCCAATCAATTGACTAATGCTTGCCTCTTCTAATTTAGAGTCTGAAGGAATGCTTTTACTTTTAGATTTGCCTGAAGATCCTCCGAAAGAAAGGCCCAATTTAAGCTCAAGCTCATTGTCATCCTCCATTTTCTCAATCTGTTCTGCAAAAGATTCTCTGTCTACCATCCAAAATAATCAGTACTAACCACATTTGTTTCTTTTGGAATTGATATACATATCCAAATTTAGATTTATAGATCTGCAGAAGGCACAAAGTGATTTCAGAAGGAAACATAAATGCTCATATGACAACAAACATTAAAGGAGAGGAAAAGACATGTATGGATTATACAGGCAGTTCTCCAGAAAATTAATCAATCAACGCTTGATGAAGGTGAGGTTTAAAATTAATAAGTGTAACAAAAAGGTGTGAGAGAAAAGAACCAACAGTAACATGAGACTTAGATATAATGAAAGACAAAATAGAGAACTAAGAGCAACACAAGTATGGAGCTTTAACCATGTGCATAGAATTAAAATTTTGCCTTTCCAGCAAAAAAATGAGCATGTCAATATCGTTCAATCATCAATAGAGTAACAATTGAAGGACCAGTAGGCTCAAAGGATTGCAACTTTTGCTGATCACTACTAGAGGCTCTAGTTACATCATAAAACAACATACAAATAAATAGGTATGGAATTCCATTGAAGGTTATGAAGAAAAAACCAGTAAATTTCACCTTATGGATCTTTCTTTTTCTGGGGGGGTTCCCAAAGGTAATCGAATAATGAAACGAAAATATGCAGATAAGAAAAGAACACTTGGAAACAGGAAAAGAGCTTCGCAGATCTATCAAAGACCTACGTAGCGCTCAAAAAAACTAGTAATTGACACAACTACTGAGAACCCCAGGATCGGCTTTATTTGCAGAAGGATCCCTACTGCTTCGTCATGGATCCCAATCGGACACAAGAACTTCAACTCCAGATGCCCTCACTCGGTTCATAATTCTTCTCCGATGTCGAATCCCCAAGGAAAATCGACCCAGCTTCCGCTCCCGATAACAGACCAGAGAACCCTAAACGCGAGTCTCCACGTCGTCGACTGGAGACAGTCGAACGAGAGATCCGCGAAAAGAGAAGAAAGCAAAGAAACGAAGGAAATCGGAAAGAAATCTCTTAAGGGAAGCGAACACCAAAGCCAAACGTCTCGATCACTATACCTTGGAGAAGAAGAGTGTGGAGTCACCACGGCGGTGGTTGTCGGTCCCGAGCGGGCGTTGACGCAGTCGTCGGTGGTGTGATGCAAGATCGCGCCAATCAATGTCCCTGCACGCATCTAAGAGCGTGATGGACACATGATCCTTTCCCTTTTTTTTCCACTTCACTGATGGGCCGAATCAGTTGGAAAATTTTCACCGGTCCGCGGTTTCTCCTCCGTGAGACAACATCACCCGTGAAAATTCATTCGACTGATTCGGCCCTTATCCTGCAGAGTCAGCGAGAGATGACGTCGCCAATGGAAATTTCAGGGGTGATTCAGTGACTTTAAGCATAAATTTTTTATCACTACTAACACAACCAACTTGCTACCCACAATTTCACCTCATTCAAAATCCATGGGACCCGCACCCGCTCCAATCCCGATACAGGTATCTATCTTTTCGCAAGTCCAACTAATTTTTTGGATCGAACTCTTCCATGATCTGACGGCTGACGTGTCATGACGTGGATGAGGAAATATAAATACGTGCATATATGAAACAACTTTTACAGATATGAATGTTATGCTGTATTTAATGCTACCTTACCGTATATAAGAAGAATAACAATCGGTAATTGTTAATAATTCAAATATAATGCATGCTTAATAATTGTTGCATTAACTTTGATGAATTCAAAATACTGATCAAATATTTTAGGCCTAAGTAAATAAGCAGTGATATTGTTGTGGATAAGTTTCCTAAAATAAGATTAATCCTAAGTTCCTGGAATTGTTCTACTGTCCTTTATCCCGAGAATCATTGAATGAATCACGACCTTATCGTTTCTTGTTTTTGGATTTGAACTCTTTATCCTGTGTATTTACTCCATGCATGAGTGTATATATACACGTAAACAGGTGCCCTTAATTCATCTGTTCATGTGGATATTATCACTCGATTCTTGTGATCTCATTCTCTCTCTCTCTCTCTCTCTCTCTCTCTCTCTTCCGCTTCTTTGATATCTGACGCTGGAGAAAGAAGGTGGAGAAGCTTAGTGGTGGTCCAACAATGGGAGGAGGAGGCTTCGTCGGCACCGAGGCGGCCAACAGAGCGGAGCTGTATGAGGGGAGGATCACAGGCTATTTCATACTGGCTTGTGTTGTTGGCTCTCTTGGCGGATCGCTCTTCGGTTACGATCTTGGCCTCTCTAGTAAGCTTTCTTCGGTTCCTTCTCGCCTTCTGATCTGTCTTTGTTATCTTCTCTGATCTTGACAGTCTTGTGGTCAACTTTCTTTGATTTAGGTGGAGTGACAGCCATGGATGATTTCTTGAAGGAGTTCTTCCCCACCGTGTACAGAAGGAAGCAGGCGCATCGCCACGAAAGCGACTACTGCAAGTACGACAACCAGGTGCTGACGCTCTTCACCTCTTCCCTCTACTTCGCGGCGCTCGTCTCCACCTTCGGAGCCTCCCTCGTGACTCGAAGGTACGGAAGAAGGACGAGCATCATGTCCGGCGCCGTCAGCTTCTTCCTCGGCAGTGCCATCAACGCAGGCGCCGTCAACATCTTCATGCTGATCGCCGGCCGCATTCTCCTCGGATTTGGAATCGGCTTCGGGAATCAGGCGGTCCCACTTTATCTCTCGGAGATTGCACCGCCCAAGATCCGCGGCGCGGTTAACCAGTTGTTCCAGCTTACCACCGTCTCCGGAATCCTGGTCGCTGACGTTGTCAACTACTTCACGGAGAAGCTGCATCCGTGGGGGTGGAGACTGTCCCTTGGATTGGCCGTGGTGCCCGCGATACTGATGTTCATTGGAGGAGCTTTCCTTCCCGAGACTCCAAACAGCCTCGTCGAACAGGGTAAGCTGGAGGAGGCACGACGGATACTGGAGAAGGTGAGGGGAACTCATAGGGTAGATGCAGAGTTCGAGGACCTGAAGGAGGCGAGTGATGCAGCAAGAGCTGTGAAGCATCCTTTCAGGAACCTCCTCAAGCCACGAAACCGGCCGCAGCTAATCATCGGCGCCCTCGCCATTCCTGCGTTCCAACAGCTCTCCGGCATGAACTCCATCCTCTTCTACGCCCCCGAGATCTTTCAGAGCCTGGGCATGGGTTCCGGAGCAGCACTTTACTCGAACATCATGTCCGGTTCGATGCTCGTGATCGGGGCTCTCGTGTCGATCGCGGTCGCCGATAGGCTTGGGAGGAGGTTCTTGTTCATCGAAGGTGGCACCCAAATGATAGCCTCCATGGTAAGCGATGCTGCTGCTCTCTAACTCGACGAAGATGATGGCTTTCTGCATGAAACTTACTGTCATCGTTGTTCTCTCGATGACAGATTGTGGTCGCTGTCATTCTTGCTCTGAAGATTGGAAATGGCGAGACGATCTCGAGAGGATTGGCTGCGACGCTGGTGATCGCGATCTGCGCGTTCGTGGTGTCCTACGGGTGGTCTTGGGGGCCTCTCGGGTGGCTGGTGCCGAGCGAGATCTTCCCCTTGGAGACGAGATCGGCAGGTCAAAGCATCGTCGTCTGCGTCAACATGTTCTTCACAGCTGCAATCGCCCAGTGCTTCCTCGCCATGCTGTGTCACATGAAATGGGGAGTCTTCATCCTCTTCGCCGGATTGATCGTGATCATGTCCTTGTTCATCATCTTGCTGCTACCGGAGACGAAGCAGGTGCCGATCGAGGAGATGTCTCAGCTGTGGCAGAAGCACTGGTACTGGAAGCACATCGTCTCCAAGGATCCCGACAGGACGGCTCAGAGCCAGCAGCAGGGGAAGAGAGCAGCAGCAGGCCAAGTGTAGAACTGAGCACCTTAACGTGGATCGACACTTGATTGTGTCTTGATGCTTGTTTTCTTAGAATCAGCAGACTGTTTCTGCCAGCAGAAACGAAGTTAGAATTGCATCTAACGTTTCTTTTTTTTGATATATAACCTATGATATAACGAATAAACTCTTCATTGGCATCCTTGTGATCGTCTTTGATCCTAAATGCGTCTTTTACTTGCTTTAGCTCTTCTCCTCTCTCGATGCAAGCCACGTCAGCCAAAATGGAAGGCTTTTTTCCTCTCTACGCCGTAAGATTCATCTGATCCTCCTTCATCCACCGTTCGATTATCTGAACCCTGTCGAAGATCATGGCATCCGATACACAGAGATGGAGGATAGATTGGTAACTTCAAAGTTGCCTTTCGTTGGGACATGGGCAATCTCCGTCCGCATAGACTATGCGGATACTTAATCCGACGGAGATGTGCCGAGATTGTGAAAAATGTACGGTAGATCATATCCTGCATACTATGCTTCCAAGCCGTGCATAAGCTTTCGATGCCCACTGAAATGATGAAAATAGCCTCGCGCGCCGCGCCCCCGGAGAGAGCGTAGGTGAAGAAGCCCTCGGCGTCCTTCCGGCGCAGGGTTGGGAAGCCCCCTTTATATATTATGCACGTTCATTGCATCCGTCTCACCTCGAGACGGCGGCGAGAGGAGCTCGTGCTACAAGCCGGTCCGACCGGCTCCAGGAAGCGATTTTGGCGAGGAGGAGTGTTTGATTGGACGATCCCGCCGGCTGATCGGTGAACTGGTGATGTCCTCGGTGGCGGCGGCGATCGGAGGGGGCAGCAGCGGGAAGGGTAAAGCGGTCGCCGCGCCGGAGGCGAAGATGAAGATGGAAACGTCGGGGAAACCGATCATCAAGCAGAAATCTGCGGCAGTGGTCGGAAAGCTCGAGGTAAAGATCTTCCCTTTTTTGGGGCGAAAATTGCGATTTTGCTGAAGAATGTGAGTGATCTGTCTCTGTATATTATCGTAGGTCGGACTTCGATTGGATTGCCTAATGTGTGATGACGTGGTTTATCTGATTTGGACTTGGTTTCGATTGAATTTACAGCTTCAAAACGCGAGATTTATACTTGGTTGTGTTTTCCCTGAATAATAATTTAGAATTTAGTGGTTGATTTGCTGATCTTTGGTACCAAATAGTTCGATTCTGGTTTATTTTTAGATCTGCTTCTTCTCAATGTTGATATTCGCCTCCTTTTTCTTCCTTTTTTGTGCTTCTCAGTTTTGTGGTTTTTGAAGCAAAGGATTGCGTTTGTTCATATTCACCTTTGTTGACATTGTGTTTGATACGAATTTTAAGGGAAAAACGGGAATCAGTTCAACCAAAACTGTCACCAAAACAATCAACAAGACGGTCAAAGGAAGAGCAGCGAAAAAAGTATACTCTTTGCCTGGTCAGAAGTACGATCCTCCTGAAGAGGTCTGTGATCTGCGGATTTCTTAGTTCTTCTTTGCTCAAAGTTGCTACGGGCTCAAAGTTCCTTGAGTGCTGTCTCATCCTATTGCTTTCTGATATTAATGACAGAGAGAACCTCTAAGAATATTCTATGAATCCCTATCGGGGCAAATTCCATCAAGTGAAATGGCAGAGATTTGGTAAAGTCCTTTTCATCTTTCGTTTCCTCCAAATTTACTGGTTGCAATTCCTTTGCTGGTTTCTTTGGCTAATACTTCAGCTTCATCCATTAGGTTATGATTGGAAGTTGGTTCTTGCTAAAGCTGAATACCATACTCAGCTCCTCTTGTCTATCTAATTAAAAAATCAAATATATGCATCAAGTTATTTAAATCGGGCATTAGAATGTTTCCTTGCATTGACTTGATGACCGAAATTAAACCGTTAGGTTTAACATATAAGGTTTCAAGAAAAATGCATTGGATATTCAACTCAAGCATTTGATTCTAGAATTTTACGACCTTAATACTTGCTGCTTCGTGTATTGATTCCAGATGTCATGCTTATTTTTTCCCTAAACTTTCTGTTGGCCATCCTTTTCATGTCAGTAATCAACAAGGCTTTAGCTTTATTGACGGGCTTCTTCCATTTGGAAAAGAACATCATCAGATGTGACCAGTATGAGTAAACCCCATCTCAAATGTTTTGTGCTTTTTTTGGAAATTCAGAATTGTATAAAGAACCATTCCCATGACATTGCTCTTTCCTATCCATTTTCAGAGGGATGAAAAATTGACTCTTCTAATAAAAAAGATAAGCTGAGCAAGGCACACCTTTGACTGGTCATGTCCAGTGTTTTGCTACCACAATAGCAGCAATATGGTTTAATCTTTTTGGTGAAATGCCTATAAGCAACAACTATAATTGCAAGGATCACTTTCAACTAATTTAGGTTAGATGCCTCTAAGAAGACACGTTGGTGATTAACGTGCTATATGCACAGTCAATCGATTGACTTCGAGTCCCATCATTAGCATCTAGCACTTGTGATCTTAATGTAGAACATATATGTGGAGTGAAAACTATAAAGAAAAGGAAGTATTTTAGGTTAATTGGATCATCCTCTTCCTCCCTTGAGCTCTATTTAGAATGACTGTCCTACAAAATACACAAACAAATATACCTGTCTATGCAATAGATTCAATGTGAGAAAGTGATGAGGATCTATCCTCTGGTTGTCCAAAGCTGCATCCAATAAACTCAATTGTCATTCTAAGAATGTGTATTGGATATGGGCATACGTGCATAACGTCACACTTTCATACTGTTTCCTGAAAGGAAGTTATCTGAAATACAGACTTGATACTGATTATTTGTTTTAGGATCATTCGGGAAGATTGTCATTTTTCATTGTCCCTTAAATGTCGTCAATAAATACAATGCTTTGTTTCATTTGGATCACTTTGCAACAGAGGATCCAAAGCCTGGTTTACCTAGCCAACATAACAGTAGTTTCTTTCCAAACAACACCTTCACTTTTCTAATGTTGATCCATAATCCTGCTTGAAACTTCATACTTTGGTAGCAAGATGAGCCACCAAATGCTAGTTTCTTTAATAACAAAATATCTTCTTTGGTCATAATCAACAACCATCATGACTGTTCTGTAAACTTCAGACAGATTGGCATCTCTGGCACAGAAAACGAACACTTCCATCAGATATTTTTTTTGCTGCAGACTTCTATACCAGGCTGCAATATAAGTGGTTGAATTTGTTTGACCTGCAATGTGTCCGAGTATTAGAATTAGGCTTAAGTAAGCTACGTGCTTGCTGTCTTTTCTATAAAAAAAAAAGCATACTTTGATTTTTTTTCCAAGAGAATTCAGTCATAGTGCAGTTATTAAGAACAGAACCATGTAGAGATTATCTGCAGCTTGTTACGCTAGGAGATCAAAGATGTGAATGACAAGAACCGAAACAATAACAAATCTAAATAGTATTTGTTTACGGCTGATTTTGTTGGCAGAAGCAAATATCAAGAGGAAGATGAATAATAGAGGAAATATAGAAAGGAAGAAGACAATAGGATAACACAATTTTACTTTAGATTATTGATTATGATTATATTTGTTGTAGACCAACTTATGTGGTATTTTCGCTCAGTAAACCAGCAAGCTCCTCTTTATGTAAATAATACAATGCAATTTATACAGTTAACCACATATTATTAATGCACATAAAGAATGTAGTGTTTTTTTTTTCTGCAGTTTAAAGACAAACGACTTATTTTTCTATTTTGCAAATTCCTAGTAATTGTTTTTGCCTATGTAATGGCAACATTCAGCTCCAATTTTACCAGAAGATGCCATTCTCCACTTGCATTCATAGGCTAAATATTTACACTTAACGAGTGAGTTCCCTTAGTTTGGGTTGTGTATCGTAAAGAAACTAAGATGTATGTTAGGTGTAAACTTGCTTGTAGACCAACATCGGGATATAGTTTTCCTTTCTTTTCACAACACAATGAATATCATCAAATGCATGAAATACCTGCAAATGAAGTATGTGCCTGCTAAGGCAAATGACATGGGGAATGTGTCGTCTGTTTGACTTGTTACACTCATATCATGTTGTGGTTTTGAGTTGTATTATTTCTCCTGTCCCACTTTGACATAGGAATCTGTTGTCTGTTTGATTCGTTACCTGCATATCATGACATGATATTGAGTTGTATTATCTCTCCTGTCCCACTTTGACATAGGATGATGGAACATGGCTTGCTATCTCCTGAAAGGGCAAAGAAAGCATATGAGAGAAAGCAAAGGAGGCAGCAACAACAGCGATTGGGCACACCGATCAAATCCAACAAGCAGGAGAGACCTGAAAGCTCCAAGAAACCACAGGTATCAAAGAATGGAGATGTTAAGGCAAAGAAAAGAGTTAACCATAGTGATGATGATGATGATGATTTTATTGTGAAATCAAAGAAGGCAAAATGACTAACGATGATATGATCTCATCCTATACGTAATCCAATTGTAGAGTGTAGCCTGTTCTGTAATTTCAATTGATAATGTCTGAAGTAGATGATCCATCGTCGTATTCGCCATAAGTGGTGAACGGTAGAAACACAAGAATTTAAGGGAAGCAGAGAGAAACATTGTGATTGATTCATTATGTTTGCTTGTGTCACTAAAGAAAACTTGGACATTGTTTGTAGACTCACTCAAATTTATCTTCAATAAGAATACACTTTTTTCTATTTCAAGATGCTCAGAACAAAGATATGCTTCTATATTTGTATTTAAACAAAATGTGTTCATATTGGTTTTATTTTGATAAATATGTTTCTTAGAATATATTGAATAATGAGTTGAACATATCAGCCATAGGAATGATGCCCAATCACAGGGAAATTGACTTGTGCAAGTGAGAAAGCCGCTAGACCTGTTTGCTATATGTTGATCAAGATTCAATGTCTTTACTGGCTTGTCCATGAGATTTTCCAATCATCAAGTCTGATGCATGAGATAATGTTTTATTAGTAAGATTTACCAAATAAGGATTTGAGATCTCAATATATTATTATTAAATTAGTATTTTGGAAGTAAAAAAAATTAAAATTCTCAATCTTTAGTAGGTGGGTTTAACACACTATTTTGTAAGTGAAAAATTTAAATTCTCAATGTTTTATTAGTAAGATTTACCAAATAAGGATTCGAGATCTCAAACTATTAAAAATTTCTTAGATGAAATTTCAGACTTCAATTCTTAGTAAATGGATATATAAAGTTTCAAATCTTAAACCTTTGATAAGTGAATTTTATACATCACCACTGGACTAATATTGGAAGTTAAGATTATGGATCAATGTAATAATTCCACTACATTTGTAGTGATCAATGTAATAATTCCAGAAACAAGTGCTGCTAATGAATCCGCTAAGCCCCGAGGACCCGTTTAGAGCCTTGATTCTCTCTTGGATATGGATCCAAAGAAGTAGATCTGATGTTATAGCCAAGGATACTGGATCCTCCATCACCTCAAAACCCAATCCAGTAGCTTGAACATGCATCCAACCTCATAAACAATCTAACCAACTTGGCAAAGTTTTGTCAGATAAAACATGAATCGAAGAATAGATCACAAGTTGTTTGCTGTATATTGATATGTAAAAACGTAGATCAGGATGCAATCTTCTATACAAAATAATTATGGAACAGAGTGGGATTGGGACATGAATACAATCAGTTGAATCTACTAACTCAAAAAAGAATAATACTCCCATCCTAGATCTGCCTACCTTCTATAACTCTGAACAAGGGAATATTTAGGGGCAAAAAAATGGAAGGCATTTGTTCCTACAACAAATGGGTTAAAGAACCACAGCATCAAAATTGCTCTCTCTTTCGATCTCTTAAGTGGACCCATAAGGATTCCTGTATTTGTGAAATACATTAGCTTGGAAAGACAATGAATACTGGAGCAGGGTTTCATGTTTCCATTCTCAAATCATCCAAGCTTGGGGGAGACATTGGTGGTACTGCACTCTCAGTACCACCGGCAACCTCCATGATCTTCCTTACAATTGCTTGAGATGAATTCTCGCTGCCTCTCGTCCTTGCTTTCTTGGATCCACCAACACTCAAATCTGGAAGTGCAGAAGTTTTGTTTTGAAGATTCTGGTTGGGTGAATTAAGTTCCTCTTCGGATGAGATTTGAGCAGATGCAATTGCAGAGCTCAAGACACCAGATTCTCTCAGAGTTTGGACAATGACCTACGGATATGCAAAAGAAACCATCAGCAGTCAGGCAGAGACGGTAGTTGGGTATACAAGATGACCCTGGCTTTGGGACATAGAGATCGGTTGGTTACCATCGGCGCATATATGCGTGTCAAGATGCCCTTCCTTAGGAGCTTCAGAGTCAACCGTCTATCGTTCCACACGACATGTTCATTGTACCTACAAAAATGAAGATATTGAGCACATTAAAACAAGAAATAAGATAAGAATTTACCAAAAAAAGGTGATAGTTGGACTTTATGTTATTTTACACAAGCACAGAAAAGAAAAGAAAAAGGACATATGTTACTAGCAAAAAAGGCCAGAAAGTAAGTGCATCAGTTACTTGTTGAATCTGTCACAGATTGGCACCTCAAAAAAGAGAGAAGAACGATAGACCTGGGAGTTTGCGAGAGTCAATAAACTCAACAAGAATCAGAGAATGGGTAGGTTCTCCCTGACTCAAAAAGTTCAAGAACTTTGCACTAACCTCGCTCGTAACCTACTTCAGATGAGGCTAATGCAGGAATTTTAAGCAAAGTATATAATACAAATAAAGAGTCACAAAATACACATTCTAGTTTTGCTTGCACATAGGATTCGCATCTCTAGGCAGTTGGAGTTTCTGCATACTTGTATGGATTACACAAGGAGTCATTGCATGCCAAGAACAGTATTCCTAAACATTTGCTACTATGCATTTCAGGACAATCTAAATTCAAGTTGCACGCATGTGTTCTCACTCATCAGCTCGTAATTTTGATGATCAAATATGCAAAGCATGCATACATGGATTACATATGGCAACATTACTGCCGTACCAGCCAGCATACACCGGTAGGGTACTAGCATAGGACACAGTACACACTGACTAGTTAGGGCATATGTAGCAACAAATAAAACCATGATAGTAAGTTCCTAAGCCATCCTGTCAAACATGTGACAAACATGTGACAAGATACACTTCTCACCATAGTCTCAGTCAACATGGTAGCGATGGAAGCCATGCTCAAAATCATACAAAAAGCACTCAACTAGTCTGTCGGTCAGTTACTGGCTATGCAAATTACATCCTTTAAAACCAACTGTATTTAGTATCACATAAGATTAAAACTAGTCACTAGTCTTGTGAGATAGATCAAATATTACTCAACTATATTAGTCGGGCAACAGAACAGATAAGCATTATATCGATCATATTAACTTTAATAGATAAGGAATAAGGAGACATATCCGTATTATGACAAACATTTCAAATAAATCCACTCTAAGTAGTGAAGACCAAATTAAACATACTTCTCAAGACAAACCAACCTCGGATCTAATAGAATTAACTTCCAACCCCACGATCTTGTTTCTCAAAATCAAGAGTTGGAAATTCTGTAAGCAAAAGTTCATATTAAAGATGTTGGAACTAGCTCTACACTAGTCAATTTCTAGATTATACTGTATTGAGCTGTTCAATTTGCCCCAGACATGAATGAGATTATTGAGTAGTTTCTGTTGGCTCCAAAGAAGAGTCAGCTTCAAATTAAATTTAAATATTTTAGATGCAATCATTTCTTTTTCCCACCAGAAAGAGGCATTCAGGTATGAAGGAACACAATTTTAGAAGTATCTTCTCACAAGATGGTCCTCTAGTTACCGTATGATGCAAAAGAAGCAAATATACATACAGCTCTAATGGGTTATAATAGGAGATTAGAGATTTTCAGTAAAATTATTTAAGAATGTTAAGATAGTTACCAGCGCAACATTTCTTCTTCAGTGGCAGTTGACGCAATAATATAGGCCTGTCATGAGAACATGGAGATTGCTATTTAGTTCAGTTGGCACAGAAGATTGTATCGATAAAGTTACTTGCAAACAATTAATTCAACATGGGGTTGCTCATTTTATGTGATTGGAATAGGGGAGAAGAGACTTGACCTACGTCCAAAGTGCTACAATTGTGCGTTAACATGGTTCATGTACGGAACATGATCCAGTTTGACACCAAAACAGGTACCAGACTAATTGTACATTACCATGGTTCATCTATGGAACATGATGAAAAATAGTACTGGTAAGCACTTACATTTCTGTCAAACTCCAACATGAAGCACCTCTTGACATCCTCCTTTGTTGGCTTGCAATTACACCGATCACGTCGAGATGTCAAATCTGAGAACTTGGGATATGTATAATGCAGGACAGCAGCCTCGTCTAACTTGACCTCACTATAAAGAAAAGGTAACTTTGTGAGGGATAGCACCTGAACTGCCCCAAAATATGTTATTTTAAGTGAAATGCAATGCTTTTCACTGCAAGGCCAGCATGATTTGGGAAAAGCTGAGCACCACTATATGAACTAAACTATGTAATCTGTAAAGTTCAGAATATGCTGCAAATATATGCAACCAAACATTTTACTTTGGGATCTTCATGTAGTTATGCCATCTATGTGCACCATTGGGGCGAAGATGATCTTGAATCCTTGCGGCTGATTTTCCATTTCCGTAAGTTAGGAAGTAGTTGGGATTGCCATTTGCTGCCACTTTATACAAGCCAAAATAAGTTTCTCTTAGTAGATGGTCAAAGTTCTTCTTGAACATGGACACCTGCAGAAAGAACGTCGGATGAGATGGTGACAGGCCTGATAGTGATCGATTCAGTTGCAATAACTAAACAGAGCAGGTACCTTTCTCGAATAAGCTAGTGAACAATCGTGGAACTTTTCAACAAATGATGAGAATTCTGGCTAGTTATTCAAATGAACATATACTGCCTAGATAATCTACTGATAACACCAACACATTTCACCTTATGTCACAGTAGAAGATAGGGTCAATTACTTCAGCAGTGTTTCTGTGTGGAGCCTAATGTTTCAAGAATATACGATGTATATTCTCTGGTAGCAGTGAAATAATTGTCACAGTCTCATATAGCTGCATCTATAAAATGTTTTTAGGTTCCTCAGAGGAATGGTCTAAATTCGAATATATGAGTGCATAAATTGAACTGGAATATACAGAAAGAGTAAAACACATGTTTATGAACCTAATAACAAAATGAGAGGCACCTTCTGCCAATGAAGTCAGCACTAAAAGAAGCCTGCTGATGGCACATAATCAGGAATGACTAGACACCGAAAGGAAGATACACTATCAACACCCACACCATGTGCACCTTAATGTTATTTGGCCAAGGAAGCTTATATAAATTTCCAATGTAGATCTAGCATGGTGAGTATAAAAGAGCCAGATAATGGTATTGGCTGAAGAAAGGGTAGATAAGCAATGTAAAAATATCCAACTCATATACCTCTTTAGGAGTGATACCTCCTATTAATGTTTTGATGTACAAATTGTTTACGTTATTATACAACGAAATATGGGGTGGCATTGAACTATTAACTTCATGAAACATATGGCATATTATGTATACTCAATTTAAAGGAAGAAGGAAAAACCATCTACCTCACTGAAAGGCTCTTTGATGTCATCCCGCTCAACACTACTTTCCTGGAACCAAAAACAAATATCAGATATACGATGGATCATCATAATTCACTATAAATAACTATTTATCCACTTACATAATTTGGAAAGATAACTATGTCCACATTGGCAGGGACATCAGAGAGCAACCTAGTTAGAGAGTATTCCGCGGCACCAGCTGGATGTATTAATTCATCAGTGTCAAGATGAATGATCCAATCCATGCCAGTATTCTGTACAAGAAAAGAAAAGGAAGTTACCTTTTAGAAGATATTAAACTTAATTATTCTTTAAGTTTGTGCATGCGGTGATGAGCCTAAGTGCAACTAATAACATGCCAAAATAATTCCTGCCTTCCACCGCAAACATGCTTAATGCAAAAAATAACAATGAAAGTGTCCATACCCGTGCCATCACTATTGCCATCTCCATGTTAAGTGATTGCTTGACAAAGAGTTCATAGTTACAAGGCTTGTAGAAAAAGCCTGCCAACCAAGTCTCGTTCCAAATACGGCTGCATGATAGAGGGAAATGGACCATAGCCGGTAGTCCAAAACTCATTACAAGATGTGACATTACAAAAATACAGGTAGCAAACAGTTTCACAAGTTTACAAATGGAAAATAGTAACCATGCAGCTCTAATCTTCGATATGTGGTATATGCTTTGAGACCTCCTGTTTCTAGCCTAGAGTAAAAGAAACTATTAAACATGCCAAAGAAAAAAAGGTTTCCAGAGAAAGGAAAAGTTTCCAGGGAGAAAGGAAACCCAAATCAAGAAAGAGGTAAATTGCTTATACTAATTTCCAACACTAAATAATTTTATGCAATGCCGTTAGGTAAAACACTTTTGGTTAAATATTTCTGAACTTTTTTGGCTTTCCAAATTTTAAACCTCCATAAAGCTCTTTTGCTGTTTTATAAAGAAACATTCTTCATTCCTATTGTCAAAAAGACATCAAATTTCATCTGAATATGAGCAAGGTATGCTAAAAAAAAATAAGAAAGCAAAAAATTCGTAGGCTGCAGCTGACAAATTTATCTAAAATTTTAACTCGTGTAGTTCTTCAGTGTGTAGGAGGAGTCTAAATATCTATCTATCTATTAAAAGCCAACATCATAGCAATATGGTAAGGCTTCAAATTCAGGTTTTTAGATGAAAATAGTCTAAAAGATGCTCAACTGTTGTCAATTATCGGAAAATTGACTTGTGCAAATTTTGGTTATGAACATATGGTGAAATGAGTCTCGGTTACTTAACGTTCAAAATAATAATCTCTTTTACTTCTTTTATGCTGTAACATAAAGTAAAGCTGCTATTATTTTCTATTTTTGTGAGACTAAATAACGAAAGAGGAAGTTACAAAACTAACCTTTTTGCTTGTTTCTCCTCCAGTTCTCCAGTTCTGTATACGACTTGTACCCCCTGCCAAGTGCCAACACAAAGACTCGACACTGAGGTCAGAGCATCTTGCACAAGTTGAAGGAGACCTTTTGAATCAATGAGAATATTCTTGAATGATCTTTAAAAAGAAACAGATATTAACTTACCGGTATGGATACAAGAACAGCCGAAACATGAGGTTTTGCAGCCTTCCCTTCAACAAACAGAAGAAACTGTGATACGCCGAGGACCTTGTGATAAAACAACCAAGGTAGGATCTGCTCTAAACCAGCCGAAGTGCTTGTTGTTATACATATCTGCAAATTGAGGCATAGGCTGCTTGATTCAAGTACCAAACACAATCTTTTCCATTCATAGTCGATGAACAAATCAGTCGAAGGTTAAGAGCATGCCACATAATGCATCAAAACAAATAAACACTAAACTAATAGATTAAACGTTGCCCATTCTTGAAATGTGATCTGATAACTATCCATCGTAGAACCCACAGATCCCTTTCTTAAGAGAAGGACATAAATAATTGAGATCCCGAGCAAAAAAGTAGTAGATCCTCAATAGTTCCTAAATCTTTAAGGAGTTCCCAGTTCCGGCTTCCTAGTCTATCCATCTCTCCGAGTCAAAAGGCAACACGAAAACCACTCAGAAACGGGAAAGACCTCACCTTCGGCTTCAGATCCTTGTCCAAATCAAACTTCCAACCGCGATAGTACGGGAAGGAGGGCGACGAGCTCCCGCCGAGGATCTCCACGCAGTCCGAGGCGGAGCGCGCTGCGACCGAGGGCACGGGCGAGCTAAGGGAGCTGTTGTCCATCCCGGGGAACACCCGGGCATCCGCAGCGGGCCACCGCGACGCCGGGTCGTCGACGCCACCGCGCCACTGGAGGACGAACGCGAGGGAGGCGAGCGCCAGGGGGAGCGCCGTGAGGAGGAGGAGGATGCGGGAGGCGAAGCTGTGGTGGGTGGCGGAGGACGCCGGCGGCGGGCGGTGGAACGTGCCGAGAGCCGCCATCGGAGTCGTCGAGCGGAAATTTGGGAGACAAACACGAAGTAAAATGTCAGTAACAGATTTATTTATCGGGGGAGGGGAGTGCGGGCGAAGCGAATTGGCTTCTGGTGATCCGCCGGAAGACTTTTATTGTGTAACCGGCGGCCACATTAATGGATTATATTAGCGTGTGGGCAAAGAGGTAACCATCATATACTGTTCTTATTGGGAGCTGAAACCACCGAAAGCAGAGCTAACGGACAAAGAACACTCGAATGCGCCGTTATCACCGAGAAAATGTAAAAACAAATTGTTAATCTCTATTATTTACATTTAAGTTAATTAATTGTTGGTCGAAACTCTAATTTATATTATTAATATCTTTTAAGCGTTTACTAAAATACTTGAGTAGCATAGAAATCTATAGTTCCATTTTAGTAGTAAAATGGACAACAATAAAACCGTTAGTCTTAGTTATTTAAGATCGGTTAAATTTTATGTTAATAAAATCTTAGAACCTAAACTAACGTAATCCTTCAATTTTTTAGGCCAGTTACACCCAACTTATTTACATTTATTATAAATCCACCCAAGAATTGTGATGGTGGGACTCACAGGTTACATACTCGAAGAACCGGCTCTTTTGGGATTTAAAGACCGAGAAGCCCTCTCGAGACATGGTGGACCCACAAGCATAAGAGCTTTAAGGGAATCCAACAGGACCTCTATAGAGACATATAGATACTGTTTTCCTGTGAGCTTGGCACATAGTTACCACCACTGTTATCACAAAATAAAAATAAAAATTGTTTACTCATAAATAAAATAAAAATATTTCAACTGCAAGATGAACAGTAGTGTTCTGGCAGCAAAAGATTATTCAGCACTGATGCAATTAAACCCTACTCGAATGGGGTAAAAGCTAAGAATCTATACCAAGATTCTGTGGTGCTCACATCCAGGTTGATCCCAATGAGGTTGAGATGTCTGTCCACCTCAAATTAAATTAATATTATCAAACATATTTTATTGTAGCTAATGATACTACAAAAGGATCAGATGTATCAGTCTCAAGAGACAACTCAAATGTCCACATTCCAGGAATTAACAACAAGAGAATACAGAAGCAAATTAGGCAATGGCACAAATACTACCAAAATGCAACAGAAAGCAATCCAAAGTAAGCTACTGTAAAATATAGACTATATACACACTCGATGATGATGAAAAGATTATATATTGGTATGGACCATAGAATTCATAAACTACACATGTAGCTTACTGGTCAAAATCCGATGAATTAAGAAGATCAGCCTGCCAAGAAATGAACCTGCGCGGCGTGACTTCAGCTTTATATCTGTTAATCAGGTGAAAAACTAAAACCAAAGTTCTAAGCCTCATCAAGAATTGGGAGACAAAACTTGCAACAAACATGAGGTGTATTTCTCATCTACTTACATGCATAAGTTTTTCAACCATGAAACAAACTCAAGTTTCGGTGACATAGTTATATCAGCACCTGCTTAAGAAACATCATGGCTATGGTTTAAGATGCATCTGCCATGACCACCAGGAAAATTCAGCCAATGCATAACCAATTGCTGATCAATTTAGATTGGTAACAAATAACAAGCAGTGATGTTGTGGTTATCAAGTCATAATTATTTGGAGCAAAAAGAACATTAAGAAAACACAGGTAAACATATACATATCAAATGTACCTACCATAAAGAGAGAACAAATCATGTACAGAAACATATAGGCTTTATCTATCAGAAAATATACATATTGCAAGGATTGCGCGATGCTGAGCACTTCATAAGCACATGGACTCGAGCACTTTCTTGAATCTCAAATTACATACCAAGCTGACCGTATATGAGCAAGACGCAAGTCAACATGGCTGGAAATGGCCAAAAGCTACAAGCTGATTGCTCAAAGGTGGCAACTAATTGGCCAGGGGATAGATAGATAATCTCCCATCGGTCCTCGACACAACATCAGCCAAATACAAACCAACCTAGAAAACAAAAAAATTATCAGTTCAAACCACCGTCACAAATGTTAACAGCTAAAAGTCCTTACATTTGCTTATACTGATACACAAATATCTAAAAACCAATCCGTGAGGCAAGATTGCAGGACTAAACATTGCAGCGCGTAATGGAAACAAACAAACAAATTTGTTGCAACAAGTTTGCACACTAGATAGCTTTTACTTTTACTTTCAATCAAAAGTGGATTTTATAATTTAGCAAGCCAAACCAACAAGTTTTTACTCCAGCAGTAGATGCAATCTCCAATTAAGAATTTATCATGACGCCAAAAACTTCCGCTATGAACTACTTATTGGCCGCGACCGCTATCTACTTCTAGCCTTTTCTGGAGTCCACAAACAAGTAGGGGTTACTTGAGTCCTCCATGGCAAACATGCTTTTCGCAATACATATCTTGGTGCAGGAATGTCTTCCCTGATCACCACTTCGAACTCGCACCATAGTGAAGTCTCACTGATATCAATGCCATTCAAAGTCAAACTAACCAACAATCGATTCTTTTGCAAGGCAATTCTTACTGGATGCCTTGAAAACAGTAGTTTTTAACATTCAGCCACTAATTTCCATTCCTACCGATCACATCATAATCACAATGCATCCATCTCCGCCACAATAATCTTTAACACGGATGCCTATAAACCGTAAGAACGAAAAAGAATGCAACAAAGAATCCACTGAAACAGAAGAACGATTTTACGGAAACGAAAACGCATGGGTTTCGACATCATCAGTTGCAATGTCCCGCATACTACCACGTCACATGCGATTAACTGAAAGGGAAAAACTATGGGAATCAGCCAATAATTACAAGTGAACATCGACCATGTTCAATACTGTGATTCATGAACCGGTGTGGTGACCAAAGAATCATAATATAACAGCCGCACAACAAACAAGATTGGCAAGAAGCAATTTCTTGTTGGATCCACACAGGGGAAACCTAAATTGAGTTCTTGAATTCGAAAAGAGAACCCCCCCACCCCCCAAAAAAAAGAGAGAGAGATACAGCGGACCGCAGGATCATCCTGTTCAAGAACCGAGAAACAAGAAGATCTGATCCGAGAAAGAAATCGAAAGAGGAGGAAACACACAGGAAGCGGCGACGAGCGGGAGCAGGAAGTCGCGCACGCAACAGCTTAAGGGGTTTGGGGGTAATTAGAGCTCCGGCGACAACACGAGACTCCCCTTCTTATGTTTATTATTTACATTCACATGAATCATATAATATATATATATATATACAAAAATTATATTCATTTTCCATAAATTATATGCTCGTATTTAATATCTTTTAGAGGGACAAACACTAATAGATTATATATATATATATATATATATTTCTCACTTCCTTTTATCATCCAAAAGAGAAATGCAGCATAAAATCACAAATATGATTACGAATATCTCTGTTTAATGATTTGATACATTTTCTATTTGTGACATTCCATCTCTTGCTTATTTGTCTTGTAAAATTATAAAAGTAAGTTGAATTCATCAATTTTCATTAATTATGACCTTAGTGACAATTTATATAGGTACAAAATATCATTAGTTTCTGGTCAATATTAATTAGTATACACTGCCACCAAGAAAAACAATTCATTAGACAGATTTCGGGCTACAATTGATATGAAAATAGTAAGATGCAGTCCTATCTTGCATTTGCTGTTTTTTTCTAATCACATGATATATGAATTAGTCACTGTTTCGTATCACTTCACACAACAAATAGACCTGTAGTTAGAACAAATTCAAAATTATAATGTGCTCAATTCAAACTAATAGACTTTGGTGACCAGAAGATGTGTTAACATTCCTTCTCTAAAGTAGGTCAGAGAAGCTATGCCACTGGAAAAAATTTGCTGGTTGTAAAAAGAAAGAAGCTTGTTTATGGGCATAATATTAACAGGATCTACCACAAACTAAACATTAAAAAAAATCATCCAAAAGTAATCAGATGCCTAAAGAATTGTTTTTCTTCTAGTCAGCACAACAAAGAGAATTCCATGGTTTCTGCTGCAAGAAAAACTGAGTTTGCAAAGTCAAAGTATATCTCCTGGCAGTAGCATGCTTCAAAAATACTAGATTTAGCATATCCATATTTATCAAAGTTTCTCATATATAATAATAATAATAATAATGCATCGCTGATCCAAACTAGCACTTGAATTGCATGAATGCACAATCCTCAGCTCTTCACCCTTCGGTTTGTTCTCTCAGTCGACGAATAGTGCTCCTCACAGTAACAGCACTAGCAGTGCTGCAAGCAATTGCAGTACCAAAGCGTAAGAAAGAGATTTGTATATTTAGATGGGTAAGAAGATATCATGTACTCACTTCAACGTGTAAGCACCGCCTGCTTTGACCTTCCCACAATCCTTGCAGCCCCAAATCCCAACTGCTTTTCTTTTCACGGCATACTAAAAGAAACCAAAATCAACATGTTTCATTGGCAAGAACTTAAAATAGATAGAAGAAAATTGAATCTATAATAAATAAGTTCTACTAGCAAAAAGATAACCAGGATTAGAATTCATATCATAAACATGTCGACAAAATAAGCCCAATGCAAAGTACATAACTTCAACTGATGATATATCATTAATCCTGCAACGCCCATTAGCCATTTAAACATAATGTAGTCCGTGTCATGATAAATTATGTGTATTTTAACTTGAGATGCATGCTCACCACCAAGATACTTTGAAATCACACCCTTTGCAGCACTTAGGAGAAATATAAGTCACATACAATCTTCTTGAACAGTAAAGTAACAAGAAGCAACAAAAAATATCTAAGCCACACAAAAGAAACTGAGTTACACCAAAATATTCAGCCTTTTGGAATATTCACAATCATCAGGATTATACATAACATTGACAATCATTTACCAAACTCGAGACAAACTAATGAACAAAACATTTTATATCTGAACAATGTCATTGGAAGGAGAATGGCTAAGATTTTAATCAAACTCATCAATCTCTACATAAAATTATCAGTTTAAACGAGTAGATAGCAAGCCTCTAGTTATCCTATCATTCCAGCTAATCCAATCCATTACATTATCAGAAGGAGAAGCTAATTGTCAAGCTGACACCATAAGCATTTATGATGAGAGTGTTATAAGGACACCTTAACAATAAGCAAGAACATTTGAAGCAAAGGAATTCACACCTTCCCACAGAATTCACAGAAGTACTTTGCATGCTGAGAAACTTCCATTTTCTTGATTTGCTTCCGCAAACTTGCACCATATCTGGTACCTGAAACACACAAAAACAAAACATAAACACAAAACAATGCAGTTGAAAACTAATAATAGTTCTTGCATAAGCAAGACCAGAATCTCAGCATAGACCGAGCCATATCTCATACCATATTTGCCAACTATTCCAGCCTTCTTGGTGCGCTTCGTCTGCATGCCAATGAGAGAAAAGGTAGACACCATCAGAGGAAGAATTTGACAAGTGAAGGTACATGGCAACACTACTAGTCCAAAACACAAAGAGCCAATGCAATGGTGATTTGAGCACACAAACATAGAAGAAGTTTGCCGAGTTAACTATATAAGAAAACGCATCTGGTGCACGGACAAGGCAGCAATATCCAAATGGAATCTTCACGATCCATAAAAACATTGTCTTTTGCACTAATTTAAGGGTGAACTAAAAAAAAAAATCTCAAATGTTAACTTCCTCGACGACCACCCTATACAAAACCCCTTTGAATATAAAAGCCACTACAAAGCTACATTTCATAAGCATGCCCCTTGTGCTCTACATTTGAGAAGCTCTTCTGCAGGAGTTGAAGAACTAGAAGCAAACATCACGTCCAATCATTTCGCTTAACTAATAAAACATCAGTTTACATCAATATAAAGGTACATCCAAACAAAAAGTTCATAATTTTCGATGCAACACAAGATTAGCACTAAAGCCGGAAAGGATTTAATGGAGAAAGATACCGCGCTTACTGCGCGAACGAGGAGCTCACCATCGTGAAGCGTACGACCGTCGGGTCCTGCCTTGTTCCGACGGTCTAAACGCCGAGGGAGAGAACTCCAGAGAGCAGACGAGAGCGCCGGCCGCCATCTCCCCGTCGCTCGCCCTTTATACCCAAAACCCTAATCCGGGGTAAGGAGCATCAGCAACGGGCGGGATCCACCGATCGGGGCCGTCGGATGTGACAAGGACGCGACTTGGATTTGAAGCATAGTACATACGATCTCAACCGTCCGATTGTTAGAGATGCGTGCATAGCCCGATTGGCCTCTATGATCGAACGATGGACTAAACCAAACATTATTTAACCTCACACGAAGACTAATGACGTAAGACCGAATACAAATAAATAATATATAATGTATGATTGTGTCATATTAGAGTCTCACAATAGAGATTACATCAATTTAAATGTGATTATCGATCCAACACGAAATTAATTGGACCCTTTTTATTCATATTGATCATAATACATTTAAACAAAATTATTTTTACTTACTTTTGAGGATAATTTATTTTCTAACAAAAAATAAAGTGCATTCTCAAGAGTGAATTGACTTTTTTATATATATATTCTTATTGTTGACTTCTCCTAACATCTATCTAACCATCATTGTTTTTTCTTCTTCTTTTGTTATTGTCCTTTTCATGGTTATCCCTTTTTTTTCCCACAATCATTTTCCCGGTCTCTTATCACCTCACATAGTGTGATGCCGACGTATTATTCAAATAGTCAACTTATTATTATTTGAATTTATATCATAATAGTCATAAAATTTTATGAATTGATCAGACAACAAAGTCTCATTTTACAGCTATATTTTGTGTATAGATTTTTTAGTATAATTTTTTAATTCTATACAATGTATAAAAAAAATCATTTTAAATGTTTCTCGAGAAGTATCTTAATTTTCAGAAGTTTCAAACATCATTTTTTTTTCTAATATATAGAATTTTTTTTTACTCTTTTCTATAGAGCGATCTAATTATAATATTTTTGATAAATATTATAAAAATTATTATGATTGTAGTATTTTAACATCATGTTGCAAGAGCAAGAAAACATTATAATGTAGTAAAAAAATATTATAATATAAATTTTTTTTATACTAAGTTATAGTATTTGTTAGTGTTATTGAAAACATTGTGATGTGGATTCATAGGAAAAAGAACGGAAAGAAAGGGAAAAGAAATATATATATATATATATATATATATATATATATATATATATATATA